TACTTACAAACCATTTTTGTAATTAGGTAAGAATTTAGTAGAGGCCCTTATTGTATACACATATATGAGTATGTATATATTTGGACAAATACACCTATATTTATGTAGTTATATACTTACATATTTATATATCTATATTCATACCTATATATAAATTTTTGCTTTCTTCTTCTTTCATTTTTTCCCCCCTGCCCCACACCAGTAGAGCAACCAGTTAATTTAACCTCACACGACAGTAATTACTCAGTTCAGGTCAAAAGTTCAATTATAATAAATAATAATCCTAACGATTATTATAAGATGTGAAGTCTCGAATATCCACTCTTTCAATAGGTCTGAATATTATCACTGCATCATGCCAGAAACTTGGAATCACATTATTTTGTTAGCCATCACTTTAAACTCGGGTCTCTTAACCTCAGTCTATTGACCTTCCAAGAGGAAGAATTCTTTGTCACGGAAGTTGTCCATGCATTAGATGGTGTTGAGCAACACCCCCGGCCTACCAGATGCCAGCCAGTAGCATGCACCCTCCTCCCAGTGGTAGCCACCAAAATGTCTCTGATAGTGTTAAATGTCCCCTATGGGAAAAATACCATAGGGAACAAATTGAACGTAAGTTTGAAGGCAGTTTACAATAACATATCCCTTAAAAAATAGTAATGTGAAGGAATGGTGCTGAGAAGATTATCTACTTCATGATCCTTTATGTACCAGGATGAGGGCCCACAGAAGAAATGTATCTCAGACTTCTATTCAAATGGTATGTTGTTTTCTTATGGATAATGGGAATTTAACTAATCATAATTGTCTTTTTTTCTTGTTTGTTTGTTTGATTACCAGAAGGCTCAAAGGCAAATCTGATAGAGACGCAAGACCTACAGTATGACTTATGTGTACTAATGCCCCGCAATATCAGTGATACTGTTTTTGAGTAAATTATAAATTTTTGCACTTCATTCCTGTATCCTACCATAACACATGTAAATGTGGACATTAATCCTTTTTTAGAATAAAGTATAAGTTAGGAGAAAAATCGGTTTCTGAACTGCCCTTTTTCACAGACGACCTCACCCTTTGCTGCTGTGGATCCTGGGTGCTGTGGAGTCCGTGCTAACCCACAGTGATCCTGTGTACAACCCAACGACACGCAGTCTAGTCCTGCACCATCGCCACAACTGTTGTTATGGTTCGGTTCACTTCATCATTCCCCCCAGAATCGTCAGCAAGCGTGTTTAGTTCTCACTTACAGATGTTCACGTTCTCTAATCAAAGCATGTAACTGAACCTGTTCAATGCAGAGTTCTGGGCTCAGCGGTACAAGAGTTTTTTGGCATCAGCCATGGAACTACCTGGATAAACTCTGGAACTATCCCCTCTAACACTTGCTGGAGACTCTGTATGCTGTAAGTCCAACAGACTGCACAAGCAACAGTGAATTATTCTGTGGCATGCAGGAGAGACAGCAAACCCTTATCTTCGTTTCTCGTGTTGATGCTGGCTTTGTAAGTTCTCCCTTTCCCTGGAAGCCCATTTCTAACCCATGACAAGTCACATTTGGAAATCTTGAACCCCGGTGCATGACAGATAGTGCTATCGTTGGACCAGTTAAACCCAAGTGTAAACACACAGTGACAACAACTGATCTATCTGGCCCTACACGATGAGATTATTTTTTGACCATGCTGAAAGGAAACATTTCCTCTGATTTTAACACACTTTCTAATATGACTGGTATGATGTGGCCATTACATAGGTGAGCAGTGAGTGGATAATCAGATGTGGTATATCACACAAAGGAGAAATACTAAGCAAAAAAATACCTAAAGGAAGATCGCAGTATGAGTACCTATATATACGTAATACGGTCAATCTCAAAACTATTATGCTAAGCAATGACGCCAAGGAGTACATGCTGTGTGTTCTACTGATAAGACCTCTAGAAGAGGTCAGACCAGCCTACAGTGAGGCAAGGAGATTGGCGACTGGCCAGGTCTAGTGGAATGCTAGCTGCTGAAGGTACACAAAGAACTTTATGGAATGATGGAAAGGTTACTTCTGATATCCTATCTTGATTGAGATAGTGGTTTCAGAAGCGGCACATTGATTGAAACTCACCAAACAATCCACTTAAATTAGGTACAAATTGTTCTTGCTGAAAATCGCAACTTAAGAACCAGGGGTGAGAAAACCTAAGACAACGCCAAATTGAACAGAGTCTTCAAAATAACTAACCAGAATTGCTCGGAGATATCGAGGTCATCCAGTACAAGAGAAGCCTGTTAAAGGGACACAGCCACAAGATGCACCAGCATAAGAAGAATGCCGGTGGAGAAACCCGTTCCGTCCAAATCAAAGTCTGACCTTTAGATACTACACTTGTACTAATGTTAGTTTCTTAGTGCTGTGAACTGCACCCCGTGAAGGTAAACACAAAAAGCATTGCTACCAAATCATAGAAACCTTTATTAAGTAAGAATAGCAAAATCTGAAGCTACTGTTTCTCGACATTGCCGCCATCCAGGCCCGTACACCCCTGACGGCAGTGTTTCCACCTCTCTAACGCTTCCCTGAAGAATCTGCACCCATCGGTTTGCACCAGGTCAAAACTAGCCGGTTCGGCATCCTCGACGGACTCAAATCGTGTCCCCTTGAGATGTCCTCCCAGTTTGGGAACAAAACCAATCTGCAGGGGCAAGCTCAGGCCTGCGAGATGGATGGGGTAAGGGTTCCCAGTGAAATTCTCTTAGGCCAGCCCTGGCCGCGCTGGGAGAATAAGCAAGCGTGCCGGTCAGGATGAAGGAAAACTCCTCACTTCAACTCCCCTGGCCCCTTTCTCACCAATCCAATTTTCAATTTTCTTAAAGCGTGTTTCTAATATGTATGCCCTCCTGAGTGTCCTATGTCCTTTGGGAAAAACAAAAAAACCCCAAACTTATTAAGATTACTCTTAGGAACAACCCCCCACCCCCACCCCCCCACCCCCCACACACATATAATTTCCTGCCTGGAGTTTAACTAGCCCAGCCCACTGTTTGGACTGTACCTTGCTCTTTGAACCATATTGGTAAAGTCAAGTCTCATCATTCAGTTACAATTCATTCCATAAAACGGTTGACCTTAATTCCATCTCGCAGATAAGAGTGATGGGTGGATTAGCTAGCTGACCTTCCCTCACAGCTTCTGGCACCCATCGGGCTGAAGGCTTGCTGAGGCCAGGATGCTTCCTCAAAATAGAAAATGCTGAATCGTGTGTGAACCCAACTTCAGTAGCGGTCACATCAGCAGTGATTCCATGGCCCTCCTTCACCATTCTGAGGACATCAGTCACAGTTTCTCCATTGGAGGAGGTCTTCCTGACAATGCTCGGTCCACCTAGAAACTGGTGTCTTATGTGGGGCAGCATCCTGTCAACTTGCTGCAGAGCTTCAGTGATTAAGGAACATGTCCTCAAATCATTTTCCTCCATGGTACCTTTTATTTTTAAAGGCACCCAAATGAGAGAGACTAAGAGAAGGATACCTGTCAGACCTATGTTCAAACTCACTTTGTTTGGAATAAACAGGAACCCTAATGGCAATACTTTGCCTTACCCTAATGTTTATGCAAATTTTTAACATCAGGGAACGCTGAATGAAGGGTATTTAGAAACTGCACGATTTTTGTATCTGTTCCATAAGTTTAAAATTATTTAGAAATTTAAAAAATAGTACACTGTTTTCTGCCTAATTATTATGTCAGTTAGGGCTAATTTAAAAAGTAGGACAAAATTACCTGGGAATTATTAAGAAGTAGCACCATCCCAAAGAAGCCCTAGTGGTACAATGGCTAAATAAATCAGTTGTTCACCAAAAGGTTGGAGGTTCAAACCCACTCCTGGTTCTGTAAGAGCAAGGAGCTGGCAATCTGCTCCCATAAAGTTTACATAAGTAAACACTTAGGTCCGTTCTGATCTGGTCTACGGTATGGAATTTACTTGCCAGCACACAGTAACAACTCAATAAACCTAGTGATAAAATGCACAGCATTCTTTACTGAAGGAACCACTAAATTTAGAAATGCCATTACTTTCCTTGGCACCCTAATAATACATTCCTCATGTAATTTCTAATGGACAATTAACAATAACAGTGTTATATGTTCAAACAGAGACAATGGAATCAAATTCTGAGGTCCACAGTATTAAATATTCCATATCCATGACTCCTACACCTAAGAATTATTATATATTTGAGGCCCAGAAACAACATATTATACTGAATATTATTTAAAGAACAGAAAGATAAAAGAGCAAGGAAACATTCAAAGGTAAATTAAAAATTTTACCGCATACCTCCTCTGTTTCCATTCTCTTCATCCTGCAAAATAAAAAGATATGCATATTTACAGTCTGACCAAATCAATGCAAGGCTCGATTCAATTCATAGTGCTCACCCAAAATGTGCCAATTCACACTCTCACTGATTGTGCCTTTTGTCACAATGGGTTGACATAAATTTTAGACATCTTTGTAACTTTATTAGGCAACAAATCATTATTCTATGATCACACATTTATTTAACTATTGGTCATGTTTGCCAATCTCTCCTGTGTGTATTTCTTCTTCCGTGAGTCACCCATGCAGGCATGACCTTTCTTCCCTTACTTACTGGGAAACACTGCTTGTCTAACCCTGAATCCTGTTCCAAAGAGTTGATGGCGTCCCAGGGTCACCCCTATCATTTGATACCATTGTGTTTGAGTTTTTGTTGCTTTTTCACTGTGTATTTTTATGTAGTATTTGTCAATCTTTTTGTCATTTGTGGTTTTTGCATTTTCTATCAAACTTCGAAAGTCCTTCCTCTCAGGTCGTGGGGAGGAGTTGAGCCAGTCAGGGTGCGATGTAGCAACGATGAAACATACAACTTTCCTCTAGTTCCTAAATGCTTCCTCCCCACGACTATCATGATCCCAATTCTCCCTTACAAATCGGCTAGACCAGAGGATGTACATTGGTACAGATAGGAACTGGAAACACAGGGAATCCAGGACAGATGATCCCTTCAGGACCAGCAGTGAGAGTGGCGATACCAGGAGGGTGGAGGGAAGGTGGGGTAGAAAGGGGGAACCGATTACAAGGATCTACATACAACCTCCTCCCTGAGGGACGGACAACAGAAAAGTGGGTGAAGGGAGATGTCAGACAGTGTAAGATATGACAAAATAATAATAATTTATAAATTACCAAGGGTTCATGAGGGAGGGGGGATATGAAGAGCTGATAGCAAGGGCTCAGGTAGAAAGCAAATGTTTTGAGAATGATGAGGGCAACAAATGTACAAATGTGCTTGACACAATGGATGTATGTATGGATTGTGATAAGAGTTGTACGAGCCTCCAATAAAATGAAGAAAAAAAAAAGAAAGTCCTTCCCACTATCATAATCCCAATTCTACCTCACAAACCTAGCTAGACCAGAGGATGATTATTGGTACAGATAACAGCTGGAAACACAGGGAATCCAGGATAGATAAACCCCCTCAGACCAACAATGAGAGTAGCGATACCAGGAGGGGAAGGAGAAGATGGGGTGTCTTTCTTTCTTAAATCATATTTATTGGGGGCTCTTACATATCTTATCACAATCCATACATTCATCCAGTGTGTCAAGCACATTTGCACATATGCCGCCATCATCATTTTCAAAGCAATCTCTTCCTACTTGAGCCCCTGACATCAGCTCCCCATTTTCTCCCTCCCTCCCTTGTCCTCTCTCCCTCACAAACCCTTGGTAAGTTATAGATTATTATTGTCATACTTTGCATTGTCCTCTGTCGCCCCTCACCCACTTTTCCATTGTTCGACCCCCTGGGAGGGGGTTCTAGTTTTGATCGATTCCCCATCTCTCCCCCCATCCCACCCTAATCCTCCTTGTTTCTCTACCCTCCTTGTTGGCCCTGAGGGGTTTATCTGTCCTGGATTCCCTGTGTTGCGGGCTCTTATCTGTAGCAGTGTGCGTGCTCTGGTCTCCTCCGATGTGTAAGGTAGAATTGAGGTCATGATAGAGAGGGGAAGGAAGCACCAAAGAGCTAGAGAAACATTGTGTGTTTCATTGGTGCTATACTGCACCTTAGACGGGCTCATCTCCTCCCCGTAACCCCTCTGTGCCGGGATGCCCAATTGTCTACAGATGGGCATTGGGTCTCCGCTCCATGTGCCGCCCCCTATTCACATTGGGTATGATTTTGTTGTGGGTCTTAGATGCCTGCTACCTGATCCCATCGATAATATGCATTTTTTCTTTTTCTTTTGATCATACGCATATTTTTAACCCAACTGAAATTAATTTTTGTAGAAGAAACAAGGCCCAGATCCTAAAGATAGGCTGTTTTCTTTTTTTTTTCCTCCTCACAAATGGGTAGCCAATATTCCAACACCATTTCATATTATACAAATGAATTTTACACATACATGAAATGTACCCCCTTTATATGCCAAAGTATTTAACTCCACTCATTTTGTGAGAACTTGTGATCTATGACATATTTCTCTCCTTTATTGAATTCTAATGAGTAGGAGTATATTTGTCACATTCATTCATTCATTCATTCACGTAATACTATGTTTTACGTGGTTTACAATTTTTTAGCTTTGACCGCCCCAATTTTTTTCTTTTCTTTTCTCTCTGGTTATAAGCTCTCTTCTAAGCTGCCTAAGGTTAGCAAGACAAACATCCCTACTCTCATGGAGCTTATAAAAGGGTAAAAAAATCAGACAACAAATCATTAAAAGAAAGAAATTAAGTGAAATAGACAAGTATATTAAAAGGATAGTGCAGCAGGGGATGGGGGGGGG